TAAAGACCGTGGTTATTAAAAAACACTCCACGAAGATGATGAAACTTAAATAATTTGAGCGCTGTCTTTTTTTAGAAAAGAGAAAAGATCTAGAAGAAGAATTTACATACCGTATTATATTCCGTGGTTTAACTAAAGTTCTTCACCTGTTTAAATTTAAGGGGCTTCAGTGGGTAAAGTTCGTTCAATCGTCATGAACGAAACGCTAGCACCAGGGTGACCGTTTACGATATATTATATACTTTTCGGTATATTTTGACATTGAAATTTAAGTTTGACAATTTTCATGACTTATCGCTATAAAATGGTATATTTAACTATTTTACTAGTATAAATTAGTATATTTTGATATATTACACTATAGTTAAATATCACGCTAAAATATAATGTTATTAAAACAACGCTCAGGCTAATTCCATTGCCAGCTTCCAAGGGCATCATATATGAAAATTTTTTCCGGTGTAAATTTTATCAAAACCAATATGAGATATATATTTAAGAATACAACTATTTAAAAAGATTTGCGTTTCCAAAATTACCAGAAAAGTAACAGTGATAACGACGAATACATATAGTGATTAGTGCAAATGGTGATCCGTCTTATATTATTGAGACTATACTTTATAAAGAACAATATTATTTTGTATCATTAAGACTAAGCAAAAAACGAAAGTGTTACAATTTTGGGTCATCCTCATAAATAGCGGAATAACTTGAATAGCTTTATATGATTTTATATATTTTTATATTTAGTTATTTAGTTCATTATTAAGAGATCAACAAAAGGTACATTTATGTAAGGGTTGTTTCTTTTTTATTAGGAAAAACTAAATTTTTCGTAAGTATATTTACGGTATATTTTTAAAATGAGACGATATATTTCGGTATATTTCTGAGTGTTAGACCGTATATCTTATCGATAGATCCGTGTTTTCATTTCTGATTCCATTTTTTCAAACAAAGTCTACGCCTACCAATTAAACTTAAGCACAAAGTTATACACCCGCAATGGCTCAACCTCAACCACCAGCCTATGAAAACAGTGAGTGTGCCTGCCAAGAGTATCAGCGCATTAGGTGCTTAAAAATTTCACCAACCGACTGCGACCGCAGCGGAATGAGTCAACCAGCAAAAACGGTAAAAGCAGAAAGCAATCGCCGGAAGCGCCATGATTATGCCCATAAATGGTCAGGAGCTGTTCTTGTCGGCGATTGATGAGTAGTAGGAGAAGGGGGACGAAAACGACAGCGGCTTCTATCTCACCCTCTATGTCTTGCAAAAGAACAAACAACAATTCCACCGCCGCCGGCCGGCATGAGGCCGCACCCTGTTTTTCCTCCATCTATAAAACATTTTGTGTCTGTGCCTTGTGCTCGCTTTTATGATCCTTGGTAAAGTTTATGGTTCGTGAAATTGCAGAAAATATCTATGCAACGCTGCCGCGCACCCAACGCGGCCAGCCCATTGTCTTGGGAGCCGATCCCAAGGGCAAGAATTTCCTCTACACCAATGGCAATTCGGTGATCATCAGGAATATCGAGGTAAGTTGATATTTTACGCAGCATATTCGTACTCCTGCCTGCCTGCCTGCCATCATAATCTATGGCATTTTCCATGCGGAATGTTTTATTTTTGGACAGCTGCAGTTTCTGGTCTTATTCCTCTCCTGCATCTGTGTTTGTGTGCGGTTGTGTTTGTGCTTGTCTGCTGCTGGCAGCTGTTCTATATTTATTTTTATAGAATCTACGCCGTATAACCATACCAGCCTATTCCACAGGCCGGCAAAAATCATCCACACTCTCGCACAATCCACACGGACGGAGAGACAACCAGAGAAATGTTCTTGTTTGTGCCGCCCACGCATCATCATTATGATGATGTTCGGGTCGCTTACTAATTGGGAACTCAGATTTGCTGTCCCAACAAAATGATTGTAAAAGTGATTTTCCTCTGTGCTCTGTATTCTCGATTTATGTAGAACCCAGCCATCGCCGACGTCTACACGGAACACTCGTGTGCAGTGAACGTGGCCAAGTACTCGCCCAGCGGCTTCTACATTGCATCTGGCGGTGAGTGTACCATCATCATGCAACTTCACACTTGGCTTGGAGTCTCGTCTCCACTGTACAAGCTGCATGCAGTGGAGCATGAAGAAGCCGTATCAAGACCAGCCATGAGTCACGTCACACCATAAGCGCTCGTTTCTCCTCTACCCCATCATTTCCATAACCATATTTAGAGCCCATCGGCTGGGTTTCTTTCTTTGCTTATCTTATCTTTGTTATTTTTTCTTTCTTTTGGTTCGGTTCGGTTTGGTATACTCAAAAACCCCCTCTTATTACCCACTCCAGATGTCTCGGGCAAGATACGCATTTGGGACACGGTCAACAAGGAGCACTTGCTGAAGAACGAGTTCCAGCCGATAGCAGGACCCATCAAGGACATCAGCTGGTCGCAAGACAACCAACGCATTGTGGCCGTGGGCGAGGGACGTGAACGTTTTGGTCATGTCTTCATGTCGGAGACGGGCACATCGGTGGGTGAGATCAGTGGCCAGTCCAAGTCCATTAATTCGGCAGATTTCAGGCCGACCAGGCCTTTCCGCATCGTAACTGGTGGGTAAAGCAATAGCAGAAAGAAAACTTGCCTATTAATGCGAATCTCACTGGTTCACAGGCAGTGAAGACAATACGGTGGCCGTGTTCGAGGGACCACCGTTCAAATTCAAGATGACAAAGCAGGACCACTCTCGGTTTGTCCAGGCCGTTCGGTACTCGCCCGATGGCAAATTCTTTGCCTCGGCCGGCTTCGACGGCAAAGTCTTTATATATGACGGCACCAGCTCCGAACTGGTGGGTGAATTCGGATCGCCCGCCCACAAGGGCGGAGTGTATGCATTGGCCTGGAAGCCGGACGGCACGCAGCTTCTGACCTGCTCTGGCGACAAGACGTGTCGCCTCTGGCAGGTGGAGTCCCGCGAACTGATCAGTGAGTTTGTGATGGGCGCGACTGTGGACGATCAGCAGGTAAGCTGTCTGTGGCAGGGGGACAATCTGATAACTGTGTCGCTGTCGGGTGTAATCACCTACCTCAACGTGGAGGATCCCAGCAAGCCTCTGCGAGTGGTCAAGGGCCATAACAAGCCCATCACGGTCTTGGGTCTGAGCGACGATCGCAGCACCATTTACACGGGCAGCCACGACGGCGTTGTGACCAACTGGAACTCAGGCAGCGGCGTCAACGACCGCATCACGGGCACTGGACACGGCAACCAGATCAACGGCATTGCCGCCTGGGGAGACTTTGTCTACACTTGCGGCATAGACGACAGCCTCCGACAGTTCAGTGTAGAAGGAAACTCCTACACGGACTACGTGGTCAAGCTTAACTGCCAGCCACGCGGACTGGCCATACTGCGCAGCGAGAACATCATTGCCCTGGCTTGCATCAACGAGCTGACTCTTGTGCAGGACCAGAAGAAAATCTTCTCGCTGCCCATCAAGTACGAGGCCAGCTCCATTGCCGTCAACTCTGAAACCTTCGATGTGGCAGTGGGAGGCGATGATCAGAAGTTGCGCATCTACAGCCTGAAGGACGGTGCCCTAGAGTTGAAGGCTGAGCTGGACCACCTGGGCGCAGTCACAGATGTGTCCTACTCGCCAGATCTGAAGTATTTGGTCGCCTGCGATGCCCATCGCAAGGTGGTACTCTACTCGGTTGAGGAATACAAGGTAATGAGTGGCGGACTGAGGCGATTCTTCGTGTACTGATCGTTTTGGTTATTATTGTCTTCAGCCTGCTCACAACAAGGAATGGGGCTTCCATAGTGCACGTGTCAATACGGTGGCCTGGTCGCCCAATTCGCTGCTGGTGGCCAGTGGCTCCTTGGACACCACCATCATCATTTGGTCTGTGACCAACCCAGCCAAGCACACCATCATCAAGAGTGAGTACTTAGTATACTATTATGTGGATACTCAATTGTATACTCCTCCTCGTCTTCAGATGCCCATCCGCAGTCGCAGATCACTCGCTTGGTCTGGCTGGACAACAACACTGTGATCTCAACTGGTCAGGACTGCAACACGAAAGTGTGGCACGTGGAAACTATTTAGATCGCCCAATCATTTTTATACTTATCCTGAGGGAGTGCACCTTGGCTTCATTTCATTTAAGTGCAACAACTATTTATGTCCCCTACAAGTACCCCACCCCATATGTCGTGTCGTCTTTATATTTAAGTCCAAAAGTGTTTGCTAATCATCATATCATTGATAAAGATCTGTTTTTGCCAATCCCACGCGTTCAGCGACTTTAGATTGTTTTTTTTTTTTGTTCGAACAACTTCCTTTCATAAATCTTGTATTACAATTAAAAGAAACAAGGATATATTATGTAAAGTACGCCAGCGTACATAAATTATTGTATTATGAAATGAAGTATACTAGTTTTTGCATAGCCCGTTGTACTCTCCTCTTTATATCCTGGGATGGGATCAGCTTTATCCTATAAGTCTATAAACACACACATCCATCTTCTTCTGGCTTCTTATAAATTGACTCTTTCATTTTATTCATTTTGGTTTAGTAGGTCCTTTGCCTTGTCTTTTTGTGTGCAAGTGTGTGTGGTGTGTGTGTTTTGGTGTATAATTACAATATTTATAAAAAACTGTACTTAATTTACTAGAATGTGTAGGTGTGAGAGTGTTTGTGCGAGCGTAAGAGAGAGCAAAAGTGAAAGGTAAAGTGAAATTTGTGGTTTGAGAGCCTCGTTGGTGGCAGTTTGCTGCTGAAAGCTCAAAACGAAACGAAATATAAATTTGTCCTAAAAGAATAAATTATAATAAATAAATTATGAGTGTATGTTTGTGTGTGTGTGTGTAAGTGTATGTGTGTGTGTGTATAGAAGACGAAAAAAACGAATTGCGCTAAGTATCACAGCCGGGTCTAAGACGTTGGTTTTTTTTTGTTGGTGGGGGATTTAAAGTTCCATATGTATGTGCATGTGTGTGGGTGTTTCCAGTGTCTGTGTGTTTGTGTGTGTGCATCTGTGCTCCAGCTTTGCAGCCGTCCAATATTTGAAATTAGAAAACATCCATCCACCACTAAGTGGCCGCCGCACTCGTTTCGCCGCCTCCCGCTTCTCCATTGCTCGCCACCGCCGGCTCCCGCTCACTTTTGATGTCAGGCGGCGCCTCGTGAGCCAAATCCAAGGCGGGCGCGACACTCGAGGAGGACTCCGCCACGGCAGCTGCAGCGGCCGCCAGCTGAAACTGATTGGGTAGAAAGAGGTACGGACTGGGCACCGTCTCGCCCGGGCATCCCGTTGAGCTCTGTCCTGTCGCCCCCACCATGTCGCCACTGGTCATCGTGTGGCTGGGCGTGGGCATGGCTGTGGGCGTGGCTGTGCCAGTCGACAGTTTGGAGACTCGCTTGCGTCGCGCCTCGTTCTCGCAGGGCGAGGGCGCCCCAGGATGGCGATAGCTGACGTGCTTGCGCAGGGCATCCTTGCTGCGGGACACGTGAGAGCACACGTTGCAGGCGTACCTGTGGAGAGATTAATGAAGAGTTGGGAGAACTTGTTTAGAGGTAGTCTGAAGGATGGTCTGTATTCGATCAATCCCTGAATGATTTTCTTCCAACTCCAATTTCGATAGAAACTACAAGTGCCCCCCGGTTTGACGAAATTATGTTCCTTACTGTCTACCGTTTAGAGATCAGAAAAATGTTGGGTCACGCGGCAGCTCTGTCAAAGCAACAGAAGGGTTCCGCATTTAAACATGTTAACAGTCTGTTACCGATCGGTGTAACGGCCCGCTGTTACGACTCTCTGGGAGTGCTAGGAGAGCGTAGGAACCATAGACGTGGAATTGAATTTGATATTATAACTTGAGTATATGTACATACATATGTGTATGTATCGCACTCCGACCTTTCATTCGTGAACTCATCGTGGGATTCCTCCTTCATCTACAATTCTATCCACCCTAAACACTAAGTTTATTGGTCCCATGTTCTTTCACCCATTTCCCATCAATACTTACCGCACATTCTGATGGGTCTCGAGGTGCACGCGCAGATTGTATTGGTTGCTAAGCTGCTTGTGGCAGATGAAGCATGTGGCATAGAGCTTGGAGTTGGACGGCGGCTTGATGGGGGTGGAGGCCAGCTGCTTCTCGCGGTCGGCGCTTAGGGAGAGCAGATTTGGCTCCGATTTGGCGCTGACCAGAGCCATGCCTCCGGCTGCCGCTGCCTCCCGCTGATACTGCTCGATGTGGAGCTGAAGCTTGGCGTGATCCTCTGCCGAGATGTAGGGCGTAGAGGCGACTGCCTGGGTGTGGTGCATTTGGGCCGCCTGCTGGGCGGCGGTGGGCGTGACAGCACAACTGTAGAGCGGAGGTTTGGTGGTGTACATCTGGTTAGGTGTTAGAGGATTTGAATAGCCTGCTGAGGAGCACTTGACCACCGGCAACTGGGGCGAGAAGTGCGCCATGGCCGGGGGCGGCAGGGTAATGGGCGATGTAGCCACAATGGGATTGGGCACCGAGCACTCGGTGGGGCTTTTGCTGCTGTTGTTCGCGGAGTTCTTGAGGCTCTTCCCCATCTTGTCCAGCCGCTTGAAATCTTTCGGCGGACTGTCGCCCTTCAGCCGCTTGGCCCCGAAGCAGTCGTCCTCCTCCTGTATCCCGCTCTGGTATAGCTGACACTGCTGCTGGTACTTCGCCAGAAGCTCCGTGGTCTTGTTCAAAGCCGTCTGCGAGAAGTTAAGTGGCTGCGGCAGCAGGCTTGGGTAGAACTGCAGCGACTTGAACAGGTTCTCTAGCGGGGAGGTGGCGATCATAGGGGCTGCTGCCGTTGCCCCCACCGATCCCAGTTTGTTTGCAAGAAGCGGGGTGCTAAGAGCGGGGCTGGGATGCAGTGGGAGCGGGAGCGGCAGACTAGGAGTGGTGGTGGGTGTGGGCGTATGTGTGGGGGTATGTGTGGGGGTAGGCATCGGCGATGGTGTGCCACGATGCTCGAACTCCGACGACTTGTCGTTCGGTGGCTCCATATATAGGGGTCCGCTCTTCGCTGTCTTGGGAAGCTGCCGGAGCGTGAAGTCAATGTTAGAGCAAGGATTGGGGAATCTATTTGCAAGGACCGCACTCACATTATTGTTCTGGACATCCGCCAATCCCTTGATGCCTAGCGTCTCGGCCAGATTGAGGAGCATGGGTATCTGCTCCTCATACACATTCACCTCTCCGGAGTACATGAACGTGAGCAGCGAAACAATGGCCCCGAAGCTGGCTCCGGGTATGATGATCACCGGATGATTGCTCGCCTCCAGGGCACGGAATATCTCCATGAAGAAGCTGCTGCAGGCACTTAGCACCACCCGGTGGGCCCGCAGTTGACGTCCCTCCGCCGATATGGTCACATCCGTCAGCTGTGACTGGTCCAGCAGCACGGGCAGAGTGCTCAGCAAACTGGTCTGGAAGAGATCAGCCATACAGAGAGAGATTGTGAGCAGAACTGGGTCACAAGATCATAAAAATACACTTTCCCAGGGCGTCTCGGGAGAGAATATTTTTTGTTCCTTTTTTTTGGAAGGCACTCTCTAGGGAGAGGCGTGGATCTGCATCTGCATCTGCATCTGTATTCGATGCAGTTGCTGTCTAACTTGTAGATTTACGCTCGCTGCAAATTCTTTGGATTTTGGCAATTGTACCGTAGCTTTTCATTTATTTGACATTTTCCCCGCCCCAGCCCCAGCCCCAGCCACAGCCCCAGCCCGAGCCCTCACCCCTCGCCCCCCACCATCTCTGTTCCCTTGCGCTGCTATTTTGGATGGCCTTTGGGCTGCTGTAGTAAACATCGACAACACAAAATTGTCACTATATGAAAATGCGGAAAACTATGTGTGAATCTGTATGTGGATCGGGGTGTGGTGTGTCTTTGGATGGATGGTTCCTCTATATATAGATGGGGTGACATTTCGTTCGCTAGACCAGACCATACAGAACGATGTCCAGTCCAGTTTTATGAGCGACACTAAGCCCCCAGATAATACTAAGGAGAGAGAGAGAGCGAGAGAGCGATGATGATGTGCCTACCGATGGTGTTTCTCATAGAAAGAGTCATTTATTTTTCAATTTCCACTACTTTGAGGCGTTGGATAATGTTCTGACTGGGGCATAAGGTATACGGTATAAGGTATATTAAAACTATACGACTTTACAACTTTAAAGAAATCGACACAAATCGAATTAAATTACCGTTGAGGATGTAGATTCACGGCTTCAACTGTGCGCTTACCTGATGATTGTGCCACCTGAGGCAGAACTGCTGCTGGTTATCATTGTGCTGCTGATGCTGCTCGAACTGGTGTTGCTGCAGTTGCAGGTGCTGGTGATGCTGTTGCTGTTGCTGCTGTTGCTGGTGGTGCAGTCTTGCATTTGTGGTATTTACATGTTCCATAATTCATCTAATGTGTGGATCACATATGTAGGTCCGCTGCAACGGGGAGAGGGAGAAGGGGAAATCCATTCATTAGTCTCTAATGTATAGCAATTACTCTTTCATTCATATGCGGCTGATGATGATGATGATTATGATGATTATGATGATGATGTGGCATGACAGAGGAGGAGTAATCTGCCCCGCTGCTCGCGTTGCCCACTCGGTTTTCACTCAGTTTTGTTTTCGCCTCTCATAATTTGTTTGTTTGTTTGCCTTTTGGCTTGTTTATTTATTGAACATTTTGTCACACACTTTTCGTGTCGCTTCATTCCGCTATATATTCCGCTTTTCGTTTTATTTCGTTGCTTTTTAATAGACCCGAGCAATGTGCCACTGTCGCACCACGCGGCGTATACGTACTATGTCGTAGCAGTTGTCTTATTACTCATACGCCCCGGCATGCCAAGGGGCGTTCGGTCGAGGCATGACATCGGCCATCTCTATCTGGAACGGACAATCCTGAATATTCTCCACGGAATTATGTTTCAGTGGAAAAGTTAATGAAATGCTTCTTGGATTTTCCTTCGCAAATAACTGTCCTGTTCATCTGTCCGCGCAGTGGAATGCATTCCTTGATATGATCCATCTCTATCTAAGATGGATGTACATATATGTATGTATTCCCTGCAATTTGTATCTGTCAGCGCATCGTTGGGCAAGAAAACAATCGCCCAGGCATCACGGATCCCAACGGAGGAGAGAGTGTCGCGTCGCATACTGGTTGACGAATCTAAATTACAATAAAAACTCACACGCACACACATCAGAGATTGTTTCGTGTTTTCTTGCTGGCAATTAAATTAAATTTATTCAAATAAAATAAGTTTTCTTGGCGGGTCTGGTCTGGTCTGGCCTGGCCTGGGACTGTCTCTGGTTGAGGTGGTGGTTGTTGCTCTTTTGTGGGTTTCTGGGTGCACTATAAATTTGGCAATTTCCATTGTTCGGATCTGGGTATGCTAGATGGTATGGGGATGGGATGGGGATGGGGTAGTGGCCACTACAATCAGATCTCATCAGACTTTTGTCCGAGGGCTATTTTTAAGATCTCTTTGCCTCGGTCTATGCTGCACTGCAATCCATTGGAGGCCCCCCGCCAAACGCCCTCCGTCCCGAAAAACAACCCAAAGTGACAAGTCCGTGTCCGAGTCTATGTCTGTGTCCGTGTCCGTGTCCGTATTGGTGTCCACATCTCTGGCAGCCCAGCATGCAATTGTTGCTGGTGTTAGTGTTAGTGTTAGTGTTGCTGTTGCTATAGACGGACGGAATTTTCTTCATTCCATTATGTGTGCACATGAGACCGAATCGCATCTTAGCACTGCTCTGCTCTACGAGTATTGAGATACGATGGATGGTGTGGAGGTTGCCTGATGCCTGATGGGGCACAATGGCTGGGTGTGCTGGTTGGATGCTGTCAAAGGGGGTGGTGTGGTGCTGTGGTGCGACAGTGCGGCCTTTTTGGCGCTCGTTCACACAAGAAAGTGTCGTGGCAGTCAGGCAGAAGGCAGCAGCAAGGCAGCCTTCTTTTCCGTAACTCTTTGGTATTTCGCTCAGTTTTTACTTGATTTTCCGAAATTAGTTTTCCTAGCCTTTTCGGCTGGCTCTGCCTTTTCAGCGCAGTTCTGATTCTGATTCTACGGCTGCGGCTGTTGCTGTTGCCGCTGCTGCTTCTGCTGCTGTTGTAGTTTTTAAATAGCCATCCAAAAAAATAAAGATCTGTGCTAAACGCTCTTGCCAGGCTGTCTATTTTGATTTGTTGTCCAAGTGCCTTGGCTGCCTTTTGTCTCGCAATCGCCATTGCCATCGCCATCGCCAGCGATTTCATTCCACCTCACCTCGGAATTGCTTCGATTTCTGTAGATCTCTTCAGATCTCCGGTTCAGTTCTGTTGATGCGTAATATTTTACACATAATCACTCATTTTCCTCTGCCTCCGCCGCCTCCTCCTCCTGCTCCTCCTCCGCCTTCGCCGCCACCTCCCCCCGAAAAACGAACAACATTAAAGAGCAAAACATTCTTAAGCTCATTTCGCTGCTGCTTTTGTTGTCTTTTAACTTTCATTTGTTCCATAAAATGGGGCGCACATAAATTGTGTCCACTTTTTTGTTAGGTATTTAAATTTCATTATAGAATTCGCACGATCACGGATTCACGGATTCACGGATCTACATACACACACGTACATATATTCGAGCATGTCTGTGTGTGTGATTCACGCGTAATCCAGCGGCCCAACACTGTCCCTGGGGGATGGCTAATAATAGAGAGCTCTGCTCTGGCCTAGGTCCGAGGGACCCTTGTGGATGCGGAGGGACAGATCCTCTACTCAGGTTGAGTTTTATGATATACTCGTGCCAGCTATCAAATGAAGTGTTACTCATCACCGTTTTATTTAGTGTTTTTTATTGCTCGTGGTTGGTTTTTTATAATTCCCAAATCCTCATCGCATTTTCCCCAATGGATTGTCGACACTCTTTTCAATCGGTTTCCGGTCCCCCCTTTACCAGGTTTCGCTTGTTGCACAATTTATTTGAATCAGTTATTTGTTCGTTCTGTTTCACAAAAAAAAATCCTTCACATTCTTGTTTTTTTTCTGTGTTTTTTTTTTGTTTTTGTTTTCAGATATATTTTACTAATGCCCCCCTCCTCTGGCGACACTTTTCGCGCCCGTTACGAATTTTCCCTTTCCGATTCGGCGACGGATCTGTCGTGCTGCGCACCTTTGTTAACCGTTTGCTGCTCGCATCTGAAATGAAAAAATCCGAAAATGTTTCAATTCTTTCGGTTTTAGTTGGAGATTTTCTATTTTTCGAATGTCCATCTCTTGACAATTTTCCTCTGGCTCTGGCTATGCTCTGACTTTTGCTTTTGCTCTTGTTGTTGTTGTTGTTGATGCTGTTTCTATTGCTGTTCCTCTGTGCTTGTGGTGCCATTTGTTTAGTCCATTTGAATTTGAATCTGACTGGCTCTCCTCTCTGGCTCGCTGTCGACGTCGCCATCGCCATCGCTGCCGCTGTTGCTGTCGCAGTTTGTCGCCCGATTCCATGTTCTTTAATTAATGAGGAGACAGAGCAGCGCAGCGCCAGAGAAAAGAGAAATCTCAGCAGTTTTGTACTCGCGATCGAGTCTCTTGGCCAAATTAATTGGCTGCCCCCAGCAGTTAGTTAATCAAAACATTTGTTGGTTGGAAATCATCATCATGTGAGCCCTGGGCCCCATCCCCATCCCCATCCCCAATCCGCATCTGAAGCATCTCAGGCATCCGAGCCATCCGAGGCAGGAGCTGTGGCCAGTTCTCCTCTAGACACAATTGACATGCCCAAGCCAGCCAAAGGCACAGCAACAACAACAAAAGCACTGCAGCACATTGGTGGCCGCCTGCATGTGCATTATTAATTTGCAATAAAATGTGGAAGCGGCGACAGCAGACGACACCGCCTCTCGCAGCGGTACGGTACGAAAATACATTTCGTACCTGCGAAGTGGATTTGAATTATGCCTGACAAATACAAATGGAACCGCTAGATGGAGACGTGGAGGGTGTGTGGAGAGAGCGCCCAGCACCCAGCACCCAACACCCAGCCGAGCAGCCAGCCAGCCAGCCAGCCAGCCAGCCAGCCAGCACCTTCATTATGCACTTTTTCAATTCATTAAAATGCCACAAATACTTATTTATTATTGTCATCTGTGTGCCTCTATTTGGGTTAAGATTGGAGGCTGAAAATACCACAAAATAAACTATCCCTAACCCATAGCCCTGCCCCATTCCCCATTCCCCTTAAAATCCATAGATCAGTGAGCTATAGCACTGAACCTCCGACAGGGGCAGGCACTGCTGCTTGGGATGGTCCCATCCGTAATTGTAGGGGCATCGGACAATCGTGAGGTAACCGCTTAGGCATTGGTAGTAGTACTCGCATCGTTGCGGGTGAGGATGGAAGCTATCGCTGGAGGCGTCGCAATGGGGACGACTCACAGGTGCTGAGCTAGATGCCGGTGGATTGGATGCTGGGGAAGGATTACTCCCAGGTGCACCAGCGGGCGCCGTAATAGTTGGGAGCACCTCCTCTGGAGCGCTTGCTTCTGTTTCGGCCTCCGTCGCGTTTAGAGTGGCAGCTCCCCTGAGACAGAATCCCGCATCGTCAAAGGCACACTCCTGGGCCTTCTCATCGAAGTAGGTCTGATCCGGACAGCTGTCTCTGAAGGAGTCCTCCCCATTGCAGTAGATGTACGAGGCGCAGTCTTCGACGGCCATCACAAACGTTTCGAGCGCCACATCCACACACTGCGGGAACTCCTCTCCCTGACCGAAAGTCAGAGCTCCAGTCAGGAGCAGCAGGCAAAGCAGAGTCGCGGCTTTGGTAACCATAGTGAAAAATGTTGTACTTGTGGATGATGGAAAATGCCAATCGGTTGGGCCTTTTATGGCAAATTTTGGTCTGTCTTATCGCTGTTCTTGTACCCCTTATCTTTCACGAATTTCACCAATTGATGTATCTTCTTTGCTCCGAACACATATGTGTCAAGGCCGCCCAATCACTTTTTCTGCAAAGGAAATCAGCAAAGATAAAGAGATTCAAAACATGCTTTCAAATCTTGAAGTTCACCACAGAAATTAAAAATGAAAAAAAAAATCGACACACCACACCCAGTCGGTGTGGCCAGGGCTGCAAGAAATGGGCGAAAAACGAATGTCAGATGGCGCCACAGCATACAAATTCAAATTCAACTTCCAATAATCTTTATCCTTTATTTATTAATGTACTGCATATTGCGCACCCTTTCCATATTTGATAAATTTGATTGGTTAATTAATTACTTAAAATCCTACTAATACTGCTGCTGCTGCTTGATGTGTAAGTATCTACGGCACCTGCTACCGAGTATTTCTACAGTATTTCCTCTTGTCGTTGCTTTGGTTTGTTGCTTGTTTCGTGTTTCTTGTTTCTGGTTTCGTGGCTAAAGGGTAATATAGTATATGGTACTTCGATCTCTTCGATCGCTATAGCTTGATCTCTTTCTCTTGAGCATATCACAGAACAAAAATGACAGTAGAAGAAGACATCTTTGGGTCGAAAGAGTGTTTGTTTGTTCGGGTCGGGGTCGCGGTCGTGGTCAGTGTCGGGTCCTAGTTCGGGATTTAGAATGTGTCAAAGTGTAAAAATATTAGTCGGAGCTTAAAAGTACATATCCATAAATAAGTATATGTATATCTGATATATATATATATATCTATGCCGTGTATATGTTTATATAAAGGGGATATCGTTTTAGAAAAATACTGAGCACAAGTACTTGGCACTGGGCGACTGGGAGCAGGGAGCAGGGTTCGGGGTTCGTGATTCGATCAAACTGAGGCTCAATTCCTCAAAATCCCTCAAAGCCCTCTCGCTACCACTGGCCTACACTAGAATCTTGTCGTAGGACGGCGGCGGCGACTCATCCAGCGGCATCTGCTTGCCCATTGCGGCCGTCTGCTCCGGCAGCAGGATCGCTATATGGTAGGGCGGCGGACCGGCCGTTGCCGCACTCGCAGTGGTTACCTGCCGCTCCTCCAGGTACCGCACATCGCTCAACTCCATCAGGCAGCTGGCGACCGCAGATGCACTGGATCCTGGAATGGCGGCGTTCACCCCGCGGCTGTGGCACACCGTAGCCCTGGCCCCACCACGGCCCGACAACAGCCCTTTTGGGATGCGGCACAGGCTGACCATGCAGGCGGCCAGAAAGAAGGTGGCCGAGAAGGCGCAGAAGATCAGCACCTCCAGACCGGTGCCCTGGTGGTCGAAGTAAAACTTGGTGCCGGCCACGAACACGGACGCCAGCACAAGGGAGGCACACATGCCGCACTTGAGATGGCTGGGCAGCAGTTGGGAGTCTGCGTGTTGCAGGAGAGCATGATGTTGCTGTTGCAACTGGTTGCTGTGCGTCGTCTGGGCGGATGTTGCGGGAGCACTGGCCACTGGTGCTACTGCTATGACGGATGTTGCCGCGGCTGCTGGCTGCTGCCTCATGCTGCTGCTGGAGTTGTGGCGACGCGGCGTGGCATAGGCGGCCGATTGTCGATGATTGTGGGAGTGACTGCTGCTGATGTGCTGCTGGTGGTGATGCTGCAGCTGTTGCTGCTGCTGATGGGGATTATGGTGATAGGCGCTGTATGCATCATCGCTGGGAAACAAAGATTGTTATAGTCTGGGAAGGATATGTCTAGGACTATCTTGGACACTCACGCATAGACGCCGGAATGTTGCTGCTGTTGCAGCTGTTGCTGCTGCTGTTGCTGCTGGTGCTGCTGATGTGTATCGTGGTGTCTGACAGGCACCATGTTCCCGAATTGTGGATGGTGATAGCTGTACTGGTGTTGCGTCTGCTGCTGCGTCCTGGGGTGATAACGCGAGCCACGCGCGACTAGGGGCACGATGGTTCCACTTCCGGTGAGGACCGCCGCCGCAGAAGCAGTGCCACTCGCGTTGTTGTTTGTTCTGCGCAAGTGGTACGGAAATTAGAGGAAGACAAACTTGAATGATTTGTTTAAATTGTATTTAAATGGAGAACTAGCGGGGAAGAAAATATATTTCCCTAACTGCTAAGCCACACTGTTAAAGAGACAGCGAAAGAGAGCATGGGGCAAGAGTCGGCTGATCAAAGCGATTTTTGAGGATTTGGTATTGATTTTGCATTAGCGGTATTCTCGGATCGTTTCAATTGCTGATTGCCTGTCCAAAAACATAAAACATGCTCTGTCTGCGAATGCTTCAAAAAAGTATGCACTAAAATGCATTTAGCTAAAACATATAGAACAAGTCCCTAAGGCAAGAGACACTTAAATACTATGTGACCTAAGCTCCCCCCCATTCAGTTGCTAGACAGTAGATTTCCTTGGCGAACTTGCAGGTTCTGCGTCTAATCGACATAACTCACTGCCAAAAGGATACTCAGGGAAAGGTTACCGAAAAGTGCGAAAAAAAATATACGGCTGGATGGTACATTACATGTTGTTGCTGGCAGTTGGAGTTCCTGTGGCAGCCATGTGGCTGCTGTTCACATTGTTGTTGTTGGTGGAATGTTGCTGCATCATCTGATGTTGCTGCTGGTGCTGCTGGCCGTGCAGTGAATTGTTGTTGGCATACTGGGAGTGGGACTGCGACTGCGACTGGGACTGGGACTGGCGACTGGTGCCCGGCTGATGGCAGTCATAGGGCGTCTGTGGCAGGGATCTGTGCACGGGTGGCATGGTGCTGCAGCTGGAGGACTTGGCGCGCCTGGGCGGATGGCCATAGCTGAGTCCGCTCCCGGCATGAGAGAGGGAGGCAGCAACACGAGAGCGTCCGAAGCCGCATTGCTGCGACCGCTTGTCTATCCAGAAATGCATTTGCACGTCCTGGAAGAGCAAATGGAGCAGTAGGATTACTTGGAGCTTCTGGGGCGGAAGGATTTGACTGCAAAGAAAGAATGTTGGATGTACAGGAATTATTATTTATCTTATTGTGTTTCTCTCGGTGTACAGAGTGGCTCCTGCAGTCGGTAGGGTATTCGTGCAGCCGAGCAGAAAACCCAAAGACTACTGTTGAATCTTTTATTTCTTATTTCGTTTCTTTGAAAGGCATAATAAAAGGAATACATGTTGGGACGACAGGGACAGCAGACAGTTGGCATAGAGTGCTGTGCTGCCAACTTATTTGAAGTTCAAGCTGCGATGCGGACACCAGACAAAGCGAATCTGAGTACATTTAGCTTTGTGTCTGCCAGACGGAAGAGAGTCCTCCTCAGGCTGCCCCAAAAAGCTAAAACAGGAAACGTGCACATCGTATTTTATGATGCTGCACTCTCCCTTGTCTTTTGTGTGTGGCTGGCTACCTACCTCTTCTGCCACACACTCTCTATCTCTCTCTCTCTCTCTCTCTCTCGCACGCTCGCTCTCTCTGTCTCCCTCTGTTTCGTCAGACATTTCCTCTTTGTGCCTCGGTTTTGAACTCTTGCTAAAGTCCTGCCAAAGATTCCCCTTTTTAAAGGTGCAACAAGGAACAAAGGTTGCTCGTTTTCTGCAGACTTCTCTGCCGCCTGGTCAAGGAACCCTCCCGAAAAATACGACTAAAACATTCATTGGCTGCTTTCACTTCCCGTGTCATTGGCAGCAGCAGCAGCAGCACCACCACCACCACCACCAACAACAACAGACACAAAAGCCCCAGCGCGCCAAAACACATAGACAGTATGGGGGATTGGTGCTCGAATCGGGATAGTATTTGGGATATTTGGACCACAAAAGTGCGGTGTTAGAAAAGGACCTGCACAGTGGAAAGTAAAGTTGAGCGCAGAGAAAGAAATAAATAAGAACTTCAGGTTCGCAAACTATTCAAAGATGGATTATGATGATTCCTCCGACTGTTCCTTGGTTCCCGTTGACTGTCTTTGGACCAACTTTCAGCTCCATTCTTAGCCCGCTTAGCTGTTCGTTGAACTGTCTGTCGGGTTTTCCTCTGTGTCTGGTTCCTGTGGCAGTGCCGCTGTGGTATTAGTCAATCAACGATGACAACAGCAGAAATCGCACTTAAACAGCGCCAGAAAGATAATGAATTTTTAAAATTATCCCACATACAACATGGCCCGACCCATCCGTACGAACAGACAAGGGATGTGTACAGATGTACTCACATAAAGACACATGTACATATGTACATATGTATGTTTTATAGGCACTGTGGTCCGAGAACCATAAAAGCCACCGCACCATAAAGCTGATTTTACTGTGGGAACTTTCCTGTTCACTTGGTGGCAAGGTTCAAAGTTCAATGCCTGTCAACGTCTTAAGGCAGAAGCAGGAGGAGGAGGTCCTGGGAGAGTTCTCGAGAGAAATTATACAATACAGTGCCGGAGGAGAAGAGTGGCAGAGCAGGACAGAGCAAAGTGCAAATAAATAAATACCCAAGTACGAGTCGGGCCAATAAAATAAACATATTTAAAAGAGACATTTTGACAACCTTTTGATAGGTTCATTTCGGTTTCGTTTCTTGCCTGGCGCCACTGACATTTCTATTTGGGTTTTTGGCCCCTTGTCCGGGTTCGGGCTCGAACTCGGGTCCGTGTCCTTCTCCGGGTCCCGGGTTCAATGATTTTTGTTCGCTTGATTTGTGTTCTCCCCAGAGCCAAATACCCCTCCCCACCCCTCCCATTCGTTAGCGTATGATTACAAATTTAGTTTTGTTGTCTAGCGAAAGTTCAGCTCGATTTGGTTAAGATTCGTGCGGAACTTGAAGAAACTCAACTCGGACATTGACATTGTGTATATTATAGGAGTGCGCTCTCAATGGCAGCCACTTTTTTGGCCAACTCAAGTATGACTATAGATAGACTTTCATAAAGGAATGAAAGAATCGGTTGCCCGACAAAGAACCATTGTCGCCGTGAAACCTAACTACGATACAAATTTTTCCTATAAATATACACACTATAGCCGTATCAATCACTACCTCAGCACCTAGTCCACACCTCTCTAGACACTAATATACATACATATGTACATATCTACATATATATTATCACCACTGCCCCCCTGGCCCTCACAAATCCGAAACACTAAACAATGGCAGACTGCCCAATCATTGAATGATTTAAATAGACTTTGATTTTATTCACTGAACCAGTTTCCTTGGCCCCTCGCCAGCTGGGGGCTGAGCCGGGCCTCTGAAGTTGACCTTTGGTCGGGGACAATTTCAACTGTTTCCGTGGTGTAGCGGTTATCACATCTGCCTAACACGCAGAAGGCCCCCGGTTCGATCCCGGGCGGAAACATGATTGGGATTTGATTTATCTCGAATTCTACCAAACTTTTTTTGTTTAGCTACTTATTTAAATAGCTGAATTCCAAGTTAACGAAGGATTTTAATATACATAAGTCTATGTTTATGGAGAAACCTCGAGCTCTAATATTTCCTTGACCTTTACGTTTTTTTGTTACTTTTAGAAAAAGAAGGGGAATATTCCTGTCTTTTCGAATTTTTCAAGGAAAGCTAGCTCAATGAAAAGGTCGACTAATTGTCTACTAAATTTCATGCCAATGCATATATTAGGAATATATGTATATGGCAAGATCTGACAAGAGATCTGATGAGAATTTATCATGAGAATTCCCAGAAACGAAACTGACAAGAAGTCTAAAACAAAACAGAATTATATTATTTGGTTTAAATTCTATCATTTAATTACTTTTAGTACGTCACAACTTTCCAAATAGCTTTAAAAGTAAAACACAAATTGGTACAAAAAAAAAATGCGGAAATAGCTCTGATCTGAAAGTTATTAAAAAAAGTTAGTTTCATCTGTTTCCGCCCGGGATCGAACCGGGGGCCTTCTGCGTGTTAGGCAGATGTGATAACCGCTACACCACGGAAACAGCTGAACGTCGTGCGGCCATAGAGACCTCTTCTGGCTCGAGGGCGTCTGCTGTTTGGGCAAGCTGCCAGAAAACCATCTCAAATCATAGCGGAAATTGAAATTAATCGAGCCACCGCCACCCAGTGATAAAGATAATCTTGAATGGGCATAGTACGAGAATGTATATATTAAAATCGTTGCAAATGTTTATTGTAAGGAATTCCTTGGCGGTGGGTGAACGATTCGATTTTAAATTCTTGGGTGAGTAAGAGCATCGCCAAACACATTCGGAACCCAATGTCTGACGCTTTAATCGTATGCCCCTAAATGCCGAGAGTTTAACCTCAAGATGCCCAACACCAAACAGAACTTTTAAACATTAAAGCGTGCACATCCCTCCTGCCAACACCAACACAAACACCAACCCCCCTTTTACTCTCACTCGGACGGTTGGTTTTTTGCCATTAACCTTTGTGTGCTGCGCTGTTCCTGCCTTTTACTTTTCGCCCCTTTTATGCGATTTTTCGTTGGCGGGAAGTGAATTTTGCCTCATTCGAGTGACTTTGCAAAGGAAAATTGCTCGGGGAGGTGGAATTGGTTGGTATGGGACCTGTACCACAGGACGGGTCGGGGTTGGAGTGGCTAAAGGTAGATGAATAATATGAGGACTGGCTGACGGGCTGGATGACTGACTTTCTGTCTGTCTGTCTGGCTGTCTGTTTCTGTGTCTCCTCTACAAGAGCCACAAAAACGAACAAAATCCCTGCCCACTTGATGGCACACACTGCGTATGAGCAATTCTAGCAATGCAACGGAATTGTATAGAGGAGAAAGTGGTATAGGTATGGGTGTAGGTGTCTGTGTGTGCACCTATATTGGGGATTTGTGTGCCTGTGTGGGGGTCGCTTTCAAGTGCATGTCAATCCGTCAGCCATTTGCTTGCTCGCTTTTTTACCTGCAATATTTTCTTAAAATATTTCTCAAATATACATGTATATTTTCCTTGGGGCTTTTCAATGCCTTTTCCTATGGGCACGTTTCTGTCACGTTCGTTGTGGCTGTTGGTATTATTGCACACATATTGTTGGTGCTTTTGTTGTTGGCGCAGCACTGGAAAAAGTCCTTGAACGCTCAACTGACCCGACACGATACACACACGCACACCCTCGCAATGGATATCCTCTTAAAAATGCTTTTCACTCGCACACAGACGGACAGAAGGACAGACGGACAGATACAGAGCCAGAGATAGGGACACTCACGCGACTTGCGACTTTTGTATTCAATTGCAAGCTCTTCTCCTGACTCCACTCCACGAATAAATTTATTTCTTAAGGCTATTTTGCCTGTTCTGGTCGCGCCACCCGTCGTTCGTATTAGAAGCGCGCGCTGCCGTAGGACTCGCAGCCGACTGTGCCTCTGAATGCAGCAGCCAGCCAAGAAGCATTTCGTTTTCACTTTTCACGAGCTGCTGAGAGACTTGGTGTTTGTTCTTTCATTTTGTGTTTGCAAAAGCACCACAGATTCAGTGGCGTGCGGCAGGGCAGGCCGGCGGTAGAGCATGAATGGAGCAAGCTCTCTCCATCTCTGCTCTCCCGCCAGTGTGCGGAACATGCGCCTTTTGCGCGAACGCCATTGAAAAGTAACCAAATTCAAACCAAGCCGCCACTGCCATACTGAAGCTTTTTGAGCTTTGAAAGCTTTCAGAGTGAGATGGATAGATAGCAGGATGTTCAACCAGGTTAAATTAGACAGAAGGTAAGTCAGGCGGCTCTCCGTGCATCCCATGAAAGGAGGACCGAAGAAGAGGGAGACTTTGAGAGAAAGGCAGAACCGATCAACATAGCATTCAAGAGAAATACTAGCATCGTTTATTTTTAGGAGCCAACAAACTTCGGCTCGCGGCACTCCCCAACCTTCGGGTCAAAGTGAAGACCAGGAGTGCAGTCCAGGGTCAGGCCATGTCCATCCACACAGTAGTAATAAGCATCCAGGCGGGACTTATGTGGATAGAAGTTCACTCCCACCATCGGGCAATCGATGTCGGCGCGGCGCAGGGGCGACCGGTAATAGGGCTGAATGTTCCGGGCTACTGCATCCACCTAAATGTTCATACAAGTCGTGTGTCAGATAAAGGCATATCCATTCTCAATATCCCGATCATAGCTTACGGTACAGTTGACGTTTTTGGCGAAGTCACAGCACTTGCACTCGGGATTGTAGTAGAGACCGGCAGAACACTGCTGCTCCCATGCTAGGCCATCGGAGCAGATGAAGTACTTGTCGCAACTGGCCTTGCTTGACAGGTAAGTTATGTTCTCTGGCTGTTCTATTGCCGAGCACTCGTTGGCCACACAGTCCACGTACTGGGGGAAGTCGCAGCGATCCGTCATGTTGTTGTACTGGAGGCCGTCGTGGCATTTCCTCAGAACCGGGCGCCCATAGTAGCAGAGGATATACTTGGTGCAGGTGTTGTCATAGCAGAAACTGCTTAGCGTGAGTTCGGAGCAGGTGGGCTGGCACTGCACGTCATTCGGAGGGGAGCACAGCTGATGGACAGGATCGAATAACATATTAATCCCGTGCACCTTGCAATCTCCAGTTCCCTTAATGGTATTATCTGGAAGAAACAAAGAAAGGTGAACCAATCTGGCACGTTGCCTTCCCACCCAGCCAGCTGTTGCTTTTCCCACTCACTCTCGCACTCGATCCACATGCTACAGCTGCCGACATAGGGAAGGTGGACGCCATCAGCAACGTTGGCGCATACATCTATATCAGTGTTTTTGTACATGTCATACTGGGAGATATCGTCCTCCCCTTCGCGATCATCGTTGGGCGAAGGAGCTACCACCAGACCCTCGTTATCGTCGCCCCAAACATTTTCGATTAGGAAAAGGACCACCAGTAAGCCCAAGTACATCAGCCAGTTCACTGCGCAGAGAAAGATACGGAATGAACGGGTATTGGAGAAACTTTGACTCCGAGCTACTTACTCCTGGATAGCACGAGATCCGCAAGTCAACTGTTTCTCAATCACCCGATAAATATGCAATTTATATCAATTTAAAGTGCTGGATTTTTATTCGCCATGTTTTGCGCTCGAGCGGAAAGTAGTGTCGTCTAATGAGTTCTTGCCACAGCTCTCTTATCGATCCACTCATTTCGGCACACGACTCCCGCAGGAGAACTACATTTTAATTTCCCCAAACATTTCAGCATTCAATTTGTCTGCGCTAAACATTTCTAAACAAAGATAAGGTTCCAGGAATCAGGAATCTGTATAGCTCATGATTGATCGCAAGAGATCATAGCACACGATACCTCATCTAACATATCATATCTTGCGCCATCAAAGCTGTATACAACTCGTATCTATTTTCTATAGGTACATACATATGTATGTACGTATTCTGAACTATTTTCTCATGCAGATTTCAAGCTTCTGTCTCGAAGCGATTCCGGCGAAAGTTCCTAACTATGTAATTGCTCTGAGAAGCTATTACAAAGGATCTTTAGGTTGTGAAATGCGAATTTCATTAATATTAATATTCGTAACACGTGTTGCCCTAATGAACGGCAGCACTTTAACTTCTCGTTAAAACTTACTCGAAATTGGGTGTTGTTGCCCTTATCTGTCCCAACCGAATTTGAATGAGACGAGTTTCGAGCGATAGTAATAACAACAGGCAATCATGCATCCTCATCTGATAAGTTTTGCAATTTGCAGTGAGCCAAACACATCGCCAGCGGCTGATTGCCAAAAAGGGCTAGCTATAAATGGAGGAGCTTGTTATACCAAGACAACAGTATACAGAGGAAGACTAGACCAACAAGTGAGTACGGGATGCATGGCTCAGATCTAGTATTATTATCCAACTCTCCAACAGTGATGTACCGCCTGACCCTGCTGGCCTTGACAGCCCTTATTGGAAGCTATGGAGCCATGGGAGCCGACATCAACATCTGCTCGGGTGTCGTCAGCAATCTGTTCCTGCCGCACATCAGCAACTGCAGCCAGTACTACTTGTGCATGAGTGAGTGACTGTGACTCCTTATCCCCTGCAGCTTATGACTCTCTTTTCCAGGTGAAACGGCTGTGCCTCGGGAGTGCCCGCAAGGCTACTATTTCGATGCTACCGATCAGCAGTGCGTGGTTGTGGAGGAAGTCAGGTGCTTGCCCACTTGTCCCGCCAAAGGCCTCACATCTTTCTGCTACGACCGCACCTGTACCAAGTACGTGCTCTGCTTCGACGGCACACCCGTACTTCGACAATGCTCCGACGGCCTGCAGTACAATGCCCAGACGGATCGCTGCGACTACCCACAATATGTGGATTGCGTGGACAACCTCTGTGTCAGGCAGAACAATCCTGCGGCCATTGTCTACATAGCCAGCAAGTCGTTGTGCGACAAGTACTTTGTCTGTGTGGATGGTCTGCCACAAGTCCGGAACTGCACCCGCGGCCTGCAATACAATGCCGCGACGACAAGCTGTGACTTCGCTTCGAAGGTCAACTGCACGGTGAGTGGAATCCTCGTCTTCATCTTGGGAGCATATCAAATCTTGCGATATTTCTTTCAGGTGGAGACTCTGCAGCGCAATATCCTGCCCTATGCGAAGGCTCCTCCCCGAAGCGCCGGCATTGTATGCCCTGCCGAGGGTACTCACTTTTATGCACACAAGAACCGCCAGGATTCCTACTACTACTGCCTGAATGGACGTGGTGTCACCTTGGATTGCACACCCGGTCTCGTCTACGATGCCAAGCGCGAGGAATGCCGTGAACCTCAATTCGCGACTGCTTAAGGAGAATCCCTCACAGAAAATAAATTGCACTTGTCTCTCAAAAATATGTTTGGCTTTTGATGGATGGCTAGCAATGTAGGTGTGAATAGCGACACACGCCTTTTTACGATGATCAAATCGATAAATTTTATTACACGCAAAAGAAAGCAATGTTTTACTAATGCTAACATACCTTTTCCGTATTTAGTATTAGTATTTTAATGTTTTGAATCCATTATTAGCTCTTTTAGTCCGTTTAGCTATCATTTTCCTCGAATACTAGTAGAAAATCTAGCTTTCCTGCCTGTACGCGACCGGTTCGGTATTACAAGTCACGCGTCATGCGGCAGTGTCCCTCGGTTGGGCGGAAGGAGGATTCACCCGCAACGGCCTTCGGCCTGGTGCAGTCATTGCATATCTAAGTCTAAAGATACAGCTAAGGAGCCAATTAATTTTCCAATTACATTTTTTCCAAAATATAACCATCTTCGTCGAGTAAGTTTCATTATATTTTGTATTATTTATTGCTTTCTCTCAGAGCTCTACATTTTTGGGTTCTCGACACTCCTGTTCCTTGCCATCGTACCACAGGCCAGGAGAGCAGTCCAGGGTCAAGCCATGGCCATCCACACAGAAGTAATAGGCATCCTTGCGCGACTCGTGCGAATAAAAATGTACACCCGCAGAGGGACACATTATATCGGCAATCCGTGGTGACAGTCGTGAGAACGGTTGGACTATTTTCTTCCGGGAGGGGATCTTCAAGAACATTGGATTACCTTCTGGTTCATTGAACAAAAATTCATCCAAAATTAACCCACCTGACAGTCAGAATTGGATGGTAAAACGCAGCAGTTGCATTTGGTGCTAAAGTACAATCCGGGAGTACAAGTCTGCTCCCTGGGCACGCCATTGCCACAGAGGAAATACTTCTCGCAGGAGACTTTGCTGGGCACGTAGTGCAATTGGTAGGCATTGTAGTAGATGGAGCACTCGGACTCCACGCAGTCCACGTTCTGGGGGAAATCGCAACGATCCGTTTGTGCATTGTACTGTAGGCCATCCAGGCACTCTCTCAGAACCGGATGCCCATAATAACAGAGGACATACTTGGTGCATGTTCGCTCATAGCTGAAGGTGGTCAGCTGGAAATTGGAGCAGGTGGGCAAGCAGTGTGCCTGAGTGGAGTTCACGCAGCTCTGGGTGGGGGCACTGAACAGGTAAGGCCATTCGCACTGCAGTTCAATGGCCTCTCCATCTGAGAAATGACATAAAAATAACATCAACATGGAACATTCGATTTATCTTGAGGATCGCACATACACCGACAGAGGTAGTACTTGTTGCAGTCACCCACATACGGCAAAAACACACTGTCGGCCACGTTCTCGCAGAGGCTGAGGTTGCCCAAGATCAGATCATTAGATGCGGGTGCGCCGTCATCTTCTCTAGCCTGCAAATCATCAGCATCTACTGCTTTAACCAGAAAATGGCTGCACAGCAGCAGTCCGAGAATTGACAGTCGTTTTGCTACGAAACAAATGAATCACCATCAAAGGCACAAATTACACATTGGGTGCTACTTACCTCCAGTCATTGTCAGCTTATAACCCCAACAGCTGGCTGAAGTCTTCCTTTATAAGGCTTTTTCTGTTAAGTACAATCAATTGATTGTCTTATCACTACGCCATCAATGTCTTCTCCGCGAAGCTGACAAACTAATTATTAGCTGCAAAAACAATGACTCTTGACTGTACAATTTTCCATATGATTTCTTGGGTGTCTTCCCATAAAAGATATGTACATATGTATGTATGTACATATATCGTTTTGCTTGTACTCTGTGCATTCGCCTCTGATTTCCTAGCTGCCTCACATCAAGACGGAAACGTTCGCCGCCTGGGCCAGCCACCGACCGCACTTTTACTTATAGACAAGATCGTTTGAAAGAATTTCATTTTCGGCACGATTCAGTTGGATCTTTGGCATCAATCTGTGCACTGCTCGGCGCTCTACGGAAGGAAAATAAATAAATACAGTATACATATATTGTATATTTTGAAAAACACATTTCTGCATTTGTTGAGTGTATTATTATTATATGTAAGTTCCTCTATGTAAGTTTACATAATTGCTGATGTGCTGAATTGATGGGAATTGTCCTCCTACAATTGCCGCATTTGAAAAGCAAAGCGTAAAAATGATTGACACATTCCTAACCGAAAAGTCAATCCGACAAGGAACAATTTATTTATAGACAGTGCTTCGTGGTGGTGGGCATGTGTTTGTTTTCAAATCATTACCAATCTGCCCGATATAATATTAAGATTACGATTTTTTACACTTTTCATTCAGCTGCATAATGGTCAATGAGCTGAACAGACCACCAAATGGGGACAATGCCGCCCTCAGTGAGGTAAGCTGTAATCGGATTTTAAGAGATTTCAAAAAATAATATTGTCAATTTTTTGAAGCGCCTGGCCGCCTCCAATCGGCAGCTTCAGGAGATGCAGGAGGAACATCGTCAGCTGCTGGAGGAGATGGAAACCTTGAGAACACGCGCTGCAGAGCTCACCCGACTGAATGCCCAGCGCCAGCAGCTAAGGCAGACAGGCCACGGAGAAGAGCAGCAGCCTCTGGCAGCGCCGCCCAGCCCATCAGAAACGCCAATCGCAGCTCCAGTCGATCCCGAACCAGTGGCCGCCGCTTCTGCAGAAGGTGTCCAAAAAGAGGAAGAGGAACACTGCGATGAGAACAAAGAGGAAACAGCTAGTTATCTGCAGGAAAAGTTGAATGAGATTGCCAACCTGAAGGCCCAATTCAAACGAGTCCAGCACATGGTCGATACTACAAACCTGATCGAGCAGCACGTGTCCACCAGGGAATCTTCGCAGACCTCCACTATCTCAAGTCAGAGCAGCCGACAAACGACAAGCTCATCGAATGCCACCAGGGAAGTTCGAGTGCCAGCCGGGGCGGAAGAGGCGCCCCAGCTAGCTCGCACCGCCGCTGCCCCAGATAACGCGGAGCTGCTGAATTCAATGCTAAACATGTTTACGGATTTCACCAGTGACCTACGCGGCCAGGCGGAGAGTCTGCGGGCGGAACGGGATCGCATTAGGACGCTCAAAGAGGAGATTATTCAGCGTAAACAGGGAAAATAGTCTCTAATCTTGACGAATTTAAGAACGAAAATTGAACAAGATCGCAGCTTAACGACTAACAGCAGCACCTTACCAACACTAGAATTCTTCTTGAAAATTAGGCAAAATATAATTATACATCCCTGTTGAACCCCATAGCTAATAACAGAGTAAATAAATATGTTGAAAGTAGGAAACACCTTTTTCTACATCCCATTCAGTAATATATTTATTATAAGTTACTATTTTTCCTTAATACGGTAATCGATATTAAACTTAAAAAGCGGCTCTACCAAATATTCAGTGGACAGGATCCTAATGTGTAGTTATCGTGTAGTTACCATGTACACAATTTAAATTTTTTTAACCTTTTCTGTTTAATCTGTATTTCATAAATAATCAAATAAAAATTATAACATCAAACTAACTAGTCTTGTAGGAAATTCAATTATTAATCGGATAAAACTATGAGTTGAGAGCTGAGGGTCCAAGTTAGCTTGTAATATTTAGCCTAATATAAAAAAAACGAGGATTATGATTTCCAATCCTTGACGGAGAAAATGAATTCATTGTAGACCAAGGGGGTATTTTAATATTCCACCGAAAATAATGAAAATTGAATAATTTTAGCGCAGTTCAGGTGAAAGATATCGTGGTTTTTTTAAGTTCAGAGGAAAGATCTACAAGAAGAATTTACAATCAGTAATATTTGTCGACATTTACTTCAAGTCGTTGAACTGTTTAAATAGAGGGGGCTTAAGTGGGCTAGTCCATTTTTGTCATCGGTAGATGTATATTTTATCGACAAGTCCGATAAGTCACTGAACAGCTGCTCAAACGACAAGGAAAAAAATTTATTAGTTTAAGGCGTCTTTTTTGTATATGTATATTTTGTGATGGCGCCGCCCATTAAACGTGTTGTGGACCAAGCTAGTAATACGGGCCGCAGCAGTGGAAGCAACAACCACGCGACCAATTCCGTGGGCACTGGTACCGGCGCAGTGCCCAAACAGCAACAGACAAATTCAGGTGGAGCCGCCGCACCTGCCAACAGATCGGCACGTTCCAGACGCCATCAGGAGCATCTGGGAGAGCCAGACATGGACTTTGTGGAACCTCTGCAACGGGAAACACTAAAAACACTAAATGTGAGTTAACAAAAAGTGAGAGGAGAGATTCTCCCATGCATTGCATTGCAATTGATTGCCGCCCACAATTTTCGCTTGCGGCGTTGCCATGGCTTCATCCGGCCTCGCATCCTCTAAACGTACATAGTGAAAGAGGCCTCTCCGCTGTTCTCTTTCGATTTATAAATACATTTCAAACTCATCTCGGCCCCCGCCAGAAAAATTCGTGGCCGCCGACTGTTTCAGTAACAGAAACGAAACGAACGCAATCACAGCGGACAACGAATTTCGATTTGCCAAAGAACCACGTATATAATATACATACACATACATATATATATATCTATACAGATATATTTATATAAAGATACTTCTTGCAAAAATTACCACGTTTCTTATACTAATATTCCTGGTAATATTTACCTGCTGCTGCTTGAAGGATCTGCTGCAGCGAACTCGCATCACCAACGGGCAGATCCGCTCCCAGGAGGACCAACAGTCTGCCATATCAACAACCACATCGCCAGGAGTACAGCAACACCAGCGGGAGGCACTGCGTCATTTGGCTGCGGAGCACAACAGCTACGACCCAACAGGTAAGTCTCGGAAAAGTTTTTACTTGGCCCACACACTGAATGGTGCGCCAGTTCATGGTCTATAAATACACGAGGGCCACAAAAATAAATGCCGTCTCTACGCTCCACGCCAGCCAGCAGCAGCCCACACTAATGCCCACACAATATTCTCCTCCATTTTGCAGAGCAATTGCAGGAGCAGCAGCAGCGCTATTGCTTTCCCGTCCGTCCCGTGCAGCGAGTCCAGCATCAGCCGTCAACTGCTGCCCCGCCTTCCGCGTCGTCGGCGCTGCTACGTTTGCGTCAATCGACGCCCCCGAATGCCACAGTAGGTGTGGTCATACCCAACGCGACCACAACCAACGGCAACGAAGAGCACTTGATTCAGTTCGCCGGTGGACTGCAGACGCTTGTCCAACGATTGCTTGGCGTCGCCTTGGGCCCCCGAGGCGAAGGAGCTCGCCCACAGCTTGAGGTTTTTCGCTCGCTGATGGAATTCGATGATAATTTGAATAACAGCAGACTGCAAACGAACGGAATCTTAGCGGAGCAGCTGAAGAACATGGTGCACGAGATCAATCCCAGCGTCGAGCAGGAAGAGGGCATTGTCAATTCCACCAGCCTGGAGGATGTGGCATTGAGTGAGGTAGGCCTTTCACTTTAAATTTAATAAAATATGTATGTCATAAAGGCAGTGCTCTCTCCACCTATCACCTTTCAGATGAGCGACAATCGCGCCCAGTCGATACAATCGCTGCATAGCGTCCTGGAGACGCCCACACCCGATGCAACACCTAGCTTCGATGAGCTGCAGCAGCGCCTGGATGCCTCCAATCGAAATATGCAGCATCTTCAGGATGAGCAGGCCAAGCTGGTGCACATTCAGAATATGGCCAAAACGCATCTCAGCGAGATGGAGCAGCTGCGCCAGCAGGCCAGCCACATGCCTCACTCGAGCAACGGCGGCGAGGGGCCCAACTATGAGTCGGTGCAACAGGTCCAGGACGACATGGCCTCGCTGGTGGGGCGCATGAAATGTCTCACCGCATTTATACATAATCAAAACGAGCTGAGCAGCGTCCTGGGTGACGACGGTCCAGAGATCCTGGCCGAGCAGGAGGCTCTGCAGGAGAAGCTCGAATCGTTGCGCAGTCAGCGCGAGGATATGCGGAATCTCGTCGATCAATTGAACATCATCAATCAATCGGCTAAGGAGACCTGTCGGGCAGTGAGAGAAGCCAAAAACGATACTCCACCACCGGCCAATCCGGTGCCGGCTCCGACTCCTGCCGCTGATCCAGTGTCCACCACGGATCGCGTGGTTCCCGTGGAGTATCAGCGGAATGTACCCATCCTGCGGCAGGAGGCGGCCAATGCCGCTCAGCGTGCACACCACGCCCAGACCATGATTAACCAAAAGACGGCAGACATTGATGCCCTCAAGGCACAAATGGCCCGGCTCAAGGGCATGCTGAATACGGTCAGCCAGATTGAGGATTCAACGCCGAGCGTCGGTGACCTTTTAGAGCGGGAGCGGGAACTGGAGAGTGCGAGCATCGAACGACAGCTGCTCCCAGACGATCTTAACCATCGTGTGCACACCCTCAGCGATGTCACGTCGGAGCTGAGGGCCGAGGCAGCCAGCCTGCAAAAGGAACGCGACCGTATCTTGGCCTTGAAGGCGGAGATCGAGCGACGCAAGCAGCAGGCGGCCGCCGCCGTCCAGATGGGCGAGGAGGCGCTGAAGAGAAGCAGCCTGACGCCGACGCCCACGCCCATGAGGCAGCGTGAAGAAGCGCATGAAGAGGAGCCCTCCGAGGTAGAGACCTCCTTGCAGGCCACTCCCCCTCGGGAGCAACTGCACGACGAATTGCGACTGCAGTGCGAGCGTCTGCGGAAGGAATACGAGCAGAAGCAGCGCGAGCTCGAGCAACGCTACATGAATAGCAACAACACCACCTCGGAGGCAGACGACGAGGGCAACGATGACACCGATAGTGACAAGTACTTTGCCAATGTGCGCACGGCATCCTCGGCCACCCTGAAACGTGCTCCCTCGGCCAGCACAGTGGTGGAGCAGCGACGCGCGCAGCCAGCCAACAACCCACCACCTCCTCCTATCCACAATGAGGAGGATCTCAATGTGACCATCGATACGCTGTCGCTTGGCAACGATAGCCTGCTCTCGAGCAGCGCTAGATCGCAGTACATGCCACCGCCCATGGCGCCAGTACAGGGTATGTGGGGTAAGTACAAACGCCCCTCATATAATCTGGTATTTATCTCTCGCTTGCAGCATCGCACAATGCCAGCAATGCCTGGAATGCTGCTCAGCAACCCATCTATGCCCAAGCGCAGCCCAGCAACGTAGAGTGCAAGTCAGCTCCGAATGCACCACAGGCCACATCCTCTAATGCCTCCGGCTCGAATACCACCGCCGATGCCGTGATGTTGCAGCAGTTCATGCAGGCCCAGCAGATGCTTATCAACTCGGTCTGCCAGTGCAATCAGAGCTTGTGGCACCAGCAGCGCGAGATCGATAATCTCACCAATCAAGTGCATGCGGTAAGGGAAATCTCTCTGAATACTAAATCGGCCTGGGGCTAATGTTACTATATTCGAGCAGCTCCAGGATCGCTTAAACGTTGCGGGATGTCAGGATCATAGCTACGGCTTGCGCTCAGAGTCTGTGCCGCCGCCGAACCTCTCGGTGGGGGCTCCCATTCTGGGCCAAATGCCCAACAATTTGTGCCTGGGCGGCAGTAACCACCGGGCCCAGTCTGAGCAGTTGTTCACTTTCGGCGCCCATCAAAGTGGCCACCAGAGCGCCTTTAGCAACTATCAGCGCAGCTGTCACCGTAATGGGGGAACGGCAGGAAGTGTTTACAGCACCAGTAGCGATGCCCATCAGCAGCAGCAGCAGCCGTTCCTCAACAATGCGGCCCCACCACCGCCACCGACACACTTCAACAACGAGACGCCGCTGTCTCCACCCTCATATCGCGCCAGTCCGGGACCCATCTTCATGAATCACCACAACAACACCATCCACCAGAACAATGCGAATCTGCGCACCCAGAATCAGCATGCCAACAATTTGCATTCGCTGCCAGTGGCTGGAGTAGGAGCAGCTGTCGCACCACCGCCACTGCAGCCGACGCTGAATAACCAGGTGCCGCCCGGCAATCGTGCCAACAACTACTGGGATAACTTCCGAAGGTAATGAGAACCCTGAATTACACTCTCGATTAGTAGTAGCTTGGGGCTTGTATTTGGTTTTAAGTTGGTTCTAAAGGGGGACGCAGAAAGAAGCCAAAGAAATAAAATTATTAGAACCTTTGAGTGTTAATCAATTCATTTTCAATTCTGTCCTGCGGTAAGTGCAAAAAATGGTTCAATTAACAGAGTTGAAAGTGACTAATGACTGACCAGCCCTAATCCCTAATCCTTAATTCTTAACGAATCTAACAGTTTGTTTGCTTTGTTTATTGCCTGCTTTCTATTAACCCATTAATATTTCTGCGCCTTTGCAGCTACTCACGGCAGAATCTGCTCTCCAACAAGAGCAATGAGGAGCTGAATGTGGACCATCAGCAGTATCGCCGTCAAAGGTCGCGTCTCAGCTATTTTCCGTCGCATGGTGCCGTGCCATGCTCGCGCAGCACCTCCGCCGCAAGCCTATCTTTCCAACAACAACCGCAGCAGCAGCAACGGCAGCACCACTTCTTCGAGTCGTCTCCACTAACAAGCTCTTTGCATGGCAGCAGCTGCATCATCAACAGCAATAATCTAAACAATACCACTAGTGGGGGCAGAAAGCGGGACTGGCGGGACGAGCCACAGCTCGTGGACGAGGACTTGGACGAGGTGGAGGAGAACAATGACAATGCCATCTATGGCGGTGGCAGGCGACGTAATCGTCGTCGTCCGGCGGCCTCCCCACTGCTTGATGATGATGCCGATCAGTCGAGCTCTTCCAATTTGGTCAACATGAACGTCAACTTCGGCAACAGTCCATTGTATCAGCGCAATAAGGTGCCGGCCAAGCCCTCAACTTCGGCAGTTTCACTAACACCACTACAGCAGCGTCATCTGCGCTTTGATTTCGAGCTGCCAGCGCAGTATATCGACTACGACTTGCCTCAGGCCGCGGCGGCTGCACCAGCGGCACCACCCATCGATCCTTCCGCCTTCAATCAAGAGGCAGGAGGAGTGCCAGCGGATGAATCCAATGCTTTGGAGCAGAGCGAGGAGACCGCCTCCGAGGAACTGAATCGGAATCTGCTTGTTAATGCATTGAAAAACGATAAGTTCACGACCAAGTTCTACGAATCCATCAAGGAGGATGTCTACAGGCGGTTGGAAACGCTATTCGAGCAGCAGCAGCAGCAACAGCAACATCATCAACAGCTGCAGCAGAGCCAGGAGACGCATAGCCTGAGGAAGGCCCTCAACCAGGGAACTTCCCTGCCTGCACAGGCGGCACAGGAGCAAGAGAACGAGGCAGAGAACGAAGCTTCTAATGCGGAGGGCACAGAAAGCCGCAGCGAAACACCTTTGGAGGTGATGAGCCTGCAATTGGACAATGACAGGCCAGAGGACGAGAAGGGATCCCCTTCGAAGCCAGCCCAGAACGGGCACGCCCAAGCCCTGGAGCTGAGCGAGGCGGCATACGCAGGCTCCGGTTCCGCTTCTGCTGTTAGGACAGAGAACGAAGAGGTAAGAGAGGGAGTAATCTAAACAAGATCTGTGCAAAACTCATCCTTCGCTATTTTGCCAGCAAATAATTGAGGCGGCCCTTGAGCCTGCCACATCGGCGGGGGCGGGGGCAGTGACCAGCGTGGAGCTGGCTCCGGATCACGAGCTGATCGAGTACATCATCAAGCGCATTCGCAACCAGACGCACAACAACACTATTATTAACGACTCCCTGCTGGCCGAGGTCTCCAAGCTGACGGCGACGGCCGCACAAAACTCTGCCGCCAATTGGGCTCAAAACACTTCCTCGCCCCTCATTTCGCCCAAGCGGATCTTCGCCAAGATTAAGAAAATGGATATACCCCGGCAACGGGATGAGTTCCTTATCTGGTATCGCTCGTATTTGGAGCAACTCTTTGTTGTGGAGCATCCGAAAGCAGACTGCCAAGCCAAGTCAAAAGTGTCCTCCACCAGCAGCCCCAAAAAGCAGACAAATAAGCGAGTGCGCAAGCAGTCTCAGTCCCAATCACAGGACTCCAACAATGATGCCGATCTTGCCGAGGCTGACCAGAAGAATGTCTCCTCCTCCAACGGAAACGGGGAGCTCGAGTGCGAAAACAACGAGAATCCCGACGAGGAGGCCGATGCTGATACGCATGCGGATGGCCTCGCTGCCGGTGATTCGGGGGATGGGGGAAAGCAGGATATCAGTCTAAACTAGCAACGATATACCCAACCCTACGTACACACCCACACATACACATTCCTAATCGCACGTAAAACATAAGACACTTACATATACACGCTAGGGGAATCCTCGCTCACTCTCCATCTTCATCGCTAGAAAGTGGTAAATTTTTGTTCGTGTTTCCGTTTAGTTTTCATTTCGCGTTTTAGTTAGTTGTATAACTACTTTAAATTACATTATAACAATTATATAAGCACTGACTTTATGCAACATGGTGTCCTGAGGAGGATGTATTGCTCCCAGGCAGTCCGCGGGCCGTAAGATGCCAGGGCCCTGCTTCTACGTAGTTTTGGGTTGGCTCCTTTTCTGGCTGGTTAGCTCCTCCAGCATGCGATAGTAGCAGTAGCGACTGTCGTAGTCCAAGTCGTACCAGAAGTTGACGGCGATGCATTTGTGGCTCTGGCGAACATGATGGAACCAGTAGTTGGGCAGGTACAGGACATCGCCAGCATGGACGCGCACTCTCAAAGGCTTGGCCCTAGCATACTCGGGATACTTGGCGAGGTCGGGGGCCAGCGGATCTATGCTGACCCACTCCGTTAGTAGTTCCACACCATCTTCGTCTGTCAGGGGATCTATATAAAACTGGCCAGAATCCGATGTCTTGTAGATGCCTGTGGGGTAAGTGCTGCGTGGAACACAGCTTAGCTGATATGGGGGTATGAGAATGAAGTCCTTATATCCCGATATCACACTGTACATATTCTCATAGGGATCTTTGTGCATGGAGGTGATGGCGCGCTCGTCCCCCAGCCAAAAGTTAACGGCGTCTGGTGGCTTATTAAAGGACTGTTGGGCAAAGTCCAAGTCACTTATGACCAAATCACTGCCCAGCTCCGGGAAGTCTTGGCTGAAATTTGAGTTTTGCTTCTGAACATAGTGGATGGCACCCATCGGATCATCGAGGCGCTGCACGAGGTCCGACAGCTTCATTTGCTTCTCCAGTGGCAGGACAAAATACTCTCGCCCCTTCTGAGTGGCCAGACCATCTGCATAGCCATTCGGTGTGACGGCCACATCCACAATCTTGTCGTTCAGCTTCTTGATCAGGTAGTCCGGGGTCCATTTGCCAATGGCCGGCCAGGATAGCGCATTGCGGATGATGACTGGCGAGTTTTTGGCAAAGTAGTCTCGGCAAAACTCCAAGGCAGTAGGTAGGTGGTCTAGCTCCGAAATGCTGCTCCCAATTCGCAGATCTTCTGCCTCTTGGAGTAGCAGATTAATGGCAGTTTCAATTTTTGACATGATATTGTATGCATAAGCCAGCTGTTCCAAACGATACAAGTGCTGTTTAGAAAAAAATATTCATTTATAATGTAAGATATTATTTAGAGTATTGTTTATTCGTATTATTATCGCGGTGGCATGGTATGTGTGCTTACAAAAGTTCTTAATGTTACGGCTTATTTAATTTTTTTATTTATTTATTTAATTTATTTACTTATTATAAATTTAATTCATAAATCCACACATCAAAAATCAAATGTTATAATTATAAAGACAACGATAAACTAGTTGTTTCTAATCAAAAAGACAGAGATAGCTTTACGGGAAGAGCATGCAGTGAGAGCGAGAGACATATATGCTTTACTTTGGATAGCCGATAGTTTATTATTGAAGTGCAGTGGAATACGACCAGAAGAAACAACGATAAGTATCGATATATGGACATACCAATATATTTAACAGACAGCTGCTCCGACATATGGGGAAAAACATGTTGCGCCAGTAAAAATTGAATAAATTTAAACAAAATTCAATTAAACCGAATATTAGACCACCAGGAGCCGACGCCGATAGCATGGCCGACTCAAAAACCAGCGATGGGGACGTCGAGGAGCAAGCATTCAACTGCATTGACGAGGCAAATGCGATCATCAACGATGTAAAGGCGCACGTAGCTGAAATATGCATCTCCTCCAAGCTGGCCAGCGATGCCACGCAGATATACCTGAACATACGGACCATAGAGAGTGCCACCTGCTGCGTGCAGGTCACCAGTCGTGGCTTCAAGATTGTCTCCTCCCAGTATGACACCGTAGATGCCGACAAGAGGATGGCTGCCAAGCTACACATCGATGAGGTGGAGGAAGCTGCTGCAGAGGAAGACGAGGAGATCTTTGAAACGCCCTATGCGTTGCTGGACAAGATAAGTCCTCGCTATGTGGAATCCTTCGGCAACCAACTGTGCCAGCAACTCAGGCAGCTGCAGCAGATGCGGACAGAGTTCCTCGAGGAGGAAGAAGAGGAGGAGGAGGAGGAAGAGGATGACTAGTGACTGGAAGGAAACTCCGACCCGAGGCTGTATACTCTTTAGACAGAAGATTTTAATGTTAGTTTTATTTAATGTTTACTCGTAATGGTATCTCGTGCGTTTTCTGGAGTGGGTCGAGGTCGAGGCCCATCTCCGAAGTCTTAATATGTTTATGTGTGTGTACCATAAAGTATTCCCGCGAGAGTTGGTCATAGAATCGCTTCATTTTACCATAGAATATCTAATTATAGGGCCAACTCCTCCCGTTTCGCATGTAATATCGATGTAACATTGTCCTTGCTTAGCAAAAACCAAACACTCAATCCAAATCCCAAATTAGACTTTAAGGCGTTTCAAGAATAAAGATTGTGATTGCAGTTCCAAGTCTGTTAGTTTCCGCACCGTCGGCACCAGCTGCTCCACATGATCCTTGTAGCCAGTGCCGGTATTCAGATTCTTCTGCCCGTAGACCACCTTGCCGTCGAAATCGTTGACGGGCACTTCCATGGCCTTATCCACCTGCTGTATGGTTATGTTCAGATGGTCCTCGACCTCGGCCAGGAGGTTCGGCTCGTTGTACCAGATGCAGCAGCCGCGTACATCGGTCAGATTGGTGTTGCTGCAGTTGCGGCCACGCGACTTGCACCATTCGCCATGGTACCAGACCTTTTCCGGCACCGTGGACACCAGACTGATTGCTAGGCCCATGCGTTCGGCTCGACCAACGCGACCGATTCGGTGCACGTAGTTGGCTTTGTCATCGGGCAGCGTAACATTGATCACTGAAAATCGAATGGACCGGATTAGTAAAGGGCTAAAATTTTAAGTGGGAGAAACTCACTGAATGGCAATCCTGTGATATCCAGACCTCGAGCAGCCACATCTGTGCATATCAAGAACTTGACCTTCTGCTGCTTGAACATTTCCAGGTTCTGCTTGCGCTCCTGCGGCTTACGGTCGCCATGCAGGCAGACACAAGAGAATCGCTGGCCCCCGCGTTGCTTGAGGTACTGCTCCAGATTGTCGCAGTCCTGCTTGGTGCGACAAAAGATGATGGCGCGATCCATCTGATGCTTCTCAATGGCATGGAAGCAGTACTCGCCCTTTAAGAGTTTGACAGCCTGCGAATGGGTTTCCTGCGACGGATTGCTGGCGTGCACATTGTCGCGGTCATGCACTCCGTCGGTGCGGATGGCCTGGCGGAGGGACTGCCAGCTTCGATCAGCCTGGGGATCCACCAAGCAGACCACATGGTGTACGGTTTCCGGCACGGCATCTTCTCCCTTCAGATCCACCCAGGTAGGGAAGTGCATGAGGCGCTCGGCCATCTTCTTAACCTCGAAGGCGTGCAGCGTGGCCGAGCAGACAATCATCTGGAGGCGGCGCCCATCTGCCGTGATTTTTGGTATCTGCTTGTGCAAACGGTCGATGAGATCCGTGTAGCCCTGCTTGAGAAGGGCATCTGCCTCGTCCAGCACAAAGAAGCGACAATGGGTGAGCAGCACGTAGCCACTGTTAATCAACTCTTCCAGGCGACCGGGGGTGCCAACCACAATGTGGATGCCCTGCTGGAGCTGCGCCTTCTGCTCATCCAATCTGACCCCGCCTATGAGCAGCAGTGAGCGCACTTCCGGATTACTCAAGTGGTACTTGAATTTCTCGATCTGATTGTAGGTCTGTTCGGCCAGCTCCCGACTGGGCTCAATAATGATTGCTTGAGGAGCATTGGGGGCTGGTTTGGCGGCTGCAGCATTGGTGGTGGGACTGGCTAAGGGATTGGTTTTGCTATGCTCCGGTCCGGCCTGGCAGACACCTACGAATCCATTGCCTGGGCTGTACTTGAAGTCTGTTTTGCCAAAGTTGAACAACATTTCGGCGTTTTTTAGAACCACAGCCGGGTAAAATGTTTCCTTGCTTAGATTCTCTGGGACCCGAAAGGCCACGCCCAGACTCTGACCATTCTTGGTGAAGCTCACCTCCAGGCGCTGCAAGTCCAGGAGGCATCCAATAACGTCTGCCTTGCCAAAGGCTTCGCCGTAGTCGTCGAACTGCCGATTGTTCGACTTTTTGCCCGTTCCACCGAATCCGAACCCATGACGGCAGGTTCCCAAGTCCAGATTAGCCTGCTGTGTGGACCAGCCGACGCGGCACAGTCCCTCATCCGTTACTGTCGTCTCAAAGTAGAACTTTCCCTTGCCGCGAACTCCGGTGGTAGCACGGCATCCGTGCCACTCCTTAAACTCCCTCGACTGGCAGCGCAGTCCGTCGGGAGTAACAGCTAGCGCATTTCCGCGATCAAAAAAGGACATAGTCCATGGGGTCACAGCTGCTGCGGTGCCTCCGCCGCCTTTGCCACCTTTTCCCTCCTCGAGATCGCGCAGAGTCTCCCACACAATTTGCAAGATGGGCAGGCAGAAGGCTCCCGTTTTGCCAGATCCGGTTTCGGCGGCCATCAAGACATCGCCGCCTCCCAAGATGAGCGGTATGGCCTCCGCCTGCACATCTGTAGGCAGTCTGGAATTATACCAATTATTGTGAAATGTTTTAGCTTCATATGCATGTTCCTTACGTCCAGTCGGCTTCGTCGGTGGCCTTTCCCAGCTCCGGGAGAACGCCAAACTCTAAAAGTGAATATTTGTTTAACGAAAAGAATGCACAAATTACCAGGTACTCACCCTCAAAAGCGGTCATATTGTACTTTATTTATTTTTTTTGTGTAAAAAAGCCGGCTGATTAATTTTATTTTTAGCGATATATAACTATAGCGATATATTTATCTATCGGTATTTGTTTGCTATAAATGATACGAGTTCGGCGGCAACATATTCACCTTTATTTTGAAAATATCAGTATTAGAGTCGACATCCGGTTTTGTTATTCTTGTTTTTATATCCTGCCTTTCTTCGTCCTTCGAGTGCTCCTTGATCATAAAATGCAATCATAACATTTCTTTAAGCCAAGATTACGTTCGAAAGGAAGCACCATGAACCGAGGTTCACTCATGAACTAGCTTATGCTGGTTCTGAATCAGTGCTGCACAACAGAGGCTTGACAAACAGCTGTGATTTGGAGATGTTTGCCAGCACTCATATTTGTATACGCGTAAATCGCAGAGATTTTTTTGTTGTATTGTAGGAATGCTTTGTAAAAGTGCTAATTAGTCGAGATAAGACATGTAAAATTGGCCGTACAAGATAAAATGTAAATGCAGACACGACTTGCCGCAAGTACAAATCAGTTTAACCATGTATTCAAGATTGCTAACGCCCTGTCCTGTTCTGTTCTGCATGTAGTAACTTTTTACTCGGAGGATGTACTTTCCAGTAGGCTGGCCCAAGCGGGTTAGTCTGGCACTGCCCGGAGAGAGTGCCAATATACGTCACATCTGCTGTGATGCCGTCAAAATACTCGTTGCCGCCGTGGGCGATGATTTTCTTGGAATCTGGTATGCGAATCCCCTGATACCCATTGCCTACTTTCGCAGGACGGAGGAGTCCCTGAAACAGTTTGGGAGGAACCTCTTGATTGTCTGGAAACCAGACTCTAGGCAGCTGGCTCTGCTCACCAGCGAGGGAGCTTTGCTGCTCTATCAGCTGGACTTCGATGCCAATGGCAGTGGCATACTGATGCAGGTGGATCCCCCAGCGGCCAGCCTCAAGAGGGACTCTGCGGAGCTGTTCATAAAGGAGAACATACCCCGGCTGAGCCTGAGGGAACTGTGCAGCGTCACCCTGGGATCTGTCATCACAACCGTCTGCTGTATCAGCCTAAGCGAGTTGCTGCTGGCCACCCAATCGTGTGAGCTTCTGCGTCTGCAGTGGACCCAACTGGAGTTGGCTGAGAACGAACAGGAGCTGCCTGCCCTGGCCTCCATCAAGCTGCGCGACATTCCTTTCTACGTTCAGCAACAGCAAGCGCCGGCCAAGAACTTCCCTCCTCTGGGCAATGACTCGTTTGTGGCCTCCTTGGAATACTCACCGTTCATTGGAGGCTGTGCGGCCGTTTTCAGCGACCGACGTGCCGCCTTTCTGATAGCCAATCACCTAAAGTTCGAGACGGATCACATGCACGGCTTTTGGGTGCAGGACGTCGAGGATGCGAGTGTCTGCAGCGTGAATCACAAGTTCCGACTGCTGGCCTACGGCCAGGAAAGCTCGGCGGTCAATGTCTATGCGATTGACGATGCCACCGGAGGGTTAGAGTTTTCTCACCGGCTGACCCTCACAGAAAACGTGCTCCCTGGAAGCTTGGGCGCTGTAAATGAACTCAAGTGGAGTCCCGATGGTTGTGTTTTGGCTGTGAGCTGGGCCAATGGTGGATTGTCGCTCTGGAGCACCTTCGGCGCCCTGCTGATGTCCACGCTGAGCTGGGACTTTGGCCTCAATGTCGATCTACTGAAACAGAATCCCCTCAAGCTACGGCGCCTGGAATGGTCCACGGAAGGCTATCAGTTGTTCATGCTCATGAAAGAGGCGGAGAACCAGGCCAACAACGTTCTGCAGCTGCAGTTTGTGAAGAGTGCGCTCAGCATGAATCCCTGCATGACGGCCAATCCGCACATCCTTCTGCAGGGCGATGACTGCCTGTACATCAATCAGGGCAACAATCTGGAGGAAACCTATGGCGGCAACAAGTTTACATTTCCCTCGAGCGGAGGAGCCGATCAGCCGGAGGACGATTGCCTGGAGCTCAAGCATAGCTTGAACACAGGAAGCATCCTGACCGAGAGCAAGTACTGGACCCTGCTGCAGCTGCCCCTGAACTATGCATCCACCAATTGGCCCATCCGGTATGCTGCGATAGACAAGGACGGTCTTCACTTGGCCGTGGCTGGGCGCACGGGGCTGGCCCACTATTCCCTCATGACCAGGAAGTGGAAACTGTTTGGCAACGAGTCGCAGGAAAAGGACTTTGTGGTGTCTGGCGGGCTCCTGTGGTGGCACGGCTTCATTGTGATGGGCTGCTACTCCCTGCTGGACAGAACCGACGAGCTGCGCTGCTATCCTGCTGAATGCAAGCTGGACAATCAGTTTGGCCACAAGCTGCAGGTGCGGGCGCCTGTCATCAGTCTTAATGTCTTCCGCAACCAGCTGATCGTGCTCACAGCAGACGGCATCGTAAGCCTCTTCCACATGTCCAAGAAGTCGGCCTACGCCATAGACATCGAGTGTGCGTATGAGCTAGATGTGAAGAGCATCTGCATCCACCCCGCCTGCATTGTGAGCCTGACGGTGACCAACCTCAAGAACGAACTGAAGCCCCAGGGACAGCAGCAGGACCAGGCCGAGACGATAATCGTGAATGTCTGCGGCCGCATCCTGATGATACAACGCGATGCCAACGAAAATGTGCCCAACACGCTCCTGGCCACCTGCCTGGCCAGCTGCGTCGAGTGCTTCTGGCTCTCCCATACCCTGGAGCGGTGTGCGATGAGGGATTGCCTCTGGCTGTACTCGGGAGCGCACGGAATGCGCGTGTGGCTTCCCATTCTGCCGCCTGGTCGGGAGAGAAGAGAGCAGGGTGGCGCCCAGCGACTGCACAGCTTCATGTCGAAGAGGATCATGCTGAGTTTCCCCCTCAAAGTGTATCCGCTGGTGATCCTGTTCGACAATGTGATTGTGCTGGGTGTGGAGAACGAGAGCACTCTGTACACCAACGAGTCGGCGTCCCATTTCTCAGTGCCGTTCGCCCTGATGGAGCGCAAGTCACAGATCTACCTGCACAAGGTGTTACGACAGCTGATCAAACGGAATCTGGGATACTCTGCGTGGGAGATCGCTCAATCGTGCCGCGCTTTGCCTTATTTCCCACACGCCCTGGAGCTGCTGCTGCACGAAGTTCTCGAGGAGGAGGCAACCAGCAAGCAGCCCATACCAGACGCTCAGTTACCAAGCATTCTCGACTTTATCCGCGAGTTCCCCGTCTATCTGGAGACCATTGTGCAGTGTGCCAGGAAGACGGAGATTGCCCTGTGGCCCTATCTCTTCTCAATGGCGGGCAAGCCTAAGGAACTCTTCCAGCTCTGTCTGCAGTCGGAACAGCTGGACACTGCGGCCAGCTACCTGATCATCCTGCAGAACCTGGAGCCGTCGGTGGTCAGCAAGCAGTACGCCACAATGCTGCTGGACATTGCCCTGCAGCAGAGAAAGTGGGAGCTGGCCAAGGATCTGATTCGCTTCCTTAAGGCCATCGATCCGAACGAGATCGATTCGCCGCGTTCCTCGATGGTTGTCAACGTGAAGATTGCACCACCGCCGCAGGTAAACACCCAGCAGCAAGTCAATCAGAATGCAGATGCCTTTAACATGGTACTGGGCCCGATTGCCAGGGAGCGGAGTTTCTCCACCACAGTGACCAGTAACCTGCCCAAGGACAAGCAGGCGGCAGGCTCTGGAGGCGGAATGGCGGTAACACCCATCGGCGAAACGAGCAGCTCGGGGGCGCCTTCGGTCGTGCGTCGGCGATCCACGAAGCAACGGGAAACGTTCTGCATTGACCTGATCCTGCAGCGACATGCCAGACAGTTGCTCCAGAACTACAAGCTCATGGATCTGGGCTATATGTGCGCATATCTGGATTTCCATTTGGTCACCTGGCTATCGCAAGAGGCAGAGCGGACAGCCAAGCTGGACGATTTCGCTTGCGCTCTGCAGGCTCTCCACGAAGAACTACAGCTGCCCAGTCCGTTTCCACCTTCGGGCAAGGATGAATTTGCCCAGCTAAGGGGAACCCACCGGCAGGCGGGCGGGGGTTCATCGCAGACCTCCGAGTCGGGCTACTTTAGCCTGGCCACGCCCAATGGAGCAGCAACGCAGTCGCCCCAGCTGCAGCCCAGCATTAAGGAGGAGGAGGAGCTGCAGCACAGCTCGCTGCCCATCTTGAAAGTTCGGTCCAGCTCGCAGTTGTCCTTCGACAACTTCCGCTACCGCAGACTGTACTCTCTGCCGGCTTCCGAGGACGACCTACTGGCCGATCCGCTGCCCGAAAAGCTGTCTATCAAACTGCGTTACCTGCTCCAGCTATTCATCGAGGCCAACTGCACGGACTACGCCCTGGTGCTGTCCATACTGCTGCAGGATGCCGCCTCAATCTCCCGGATAGTGAATGTAATCATACGCAGCGAGTCGGTAAACTCCTGCAAGCGAACGGAGGCGGCTCTGAAGCAGCTCAGCCAATGGACCTTCGAGCACAATGGCTCGCTCTATCGAGGCTTCGTGATGACGCTGCAGCCACACATCTATCTGCTCGAACAGTACATCCAGTCGCTGGGGGACGCTTCCTCCTCTTCCAGCCATGACGCCAGCGCCGGAAATGATTTGACGGCTGACTCCGCGGCCGTGCTGGATAACGACGAAAGCGACTTTGTGCCAAAATTGCAGCAGGCGAATGGAAATCAGTGGAAGACGGACTTGATGCCGGCACACCAGCGCCTGACGCGGCATGCCAGCCTCGAGTCCAACGGCAATGCAGGTCCAACATCCGGCGGCTCTGCTCAGTCCACGCCCACGCAGCAGCGGCTGCTCCGGCAGAACAGTCGGGATCGGGAAGGCTGCCGCCTAATGTAAATCACATACTCGATGCAAAGACGTAAACCCGTACATATGTACATTAATGTATGTTTTGTAACTTTTGCGGTGAAAAGTTGTTTTGTTGCTCGTAATTCGTAATTTGTTGAATTGTTCGTTAATTGTAAGCCACACACACAACACATAAACACACGCA